AAAGCTAGCAGGGAATAAAGAGCATAGCTCCCAAACCAGATCCAAGAAGGCAGAATCTGTAGACAGAAACACTTTGGATCTAAAGAAGTTTGTCAAATCGGTAACTTCTACCTTATGCTTGTAATTCAATAATAAAGCATGATGTCCTTGAGACAGTAATTTGTGCAGTCGCCTCCATAAGGACCGATCACCTAGATAGTGGAATAAACAAGGTGCCCATGTTAAATAGTTGTCAAAGCCCAAATCTGGTAATGTTCAGTGGAAAATTTACCTTCATAGGAAATGCGACGTCTTTATGATCGGGACCAAAGAAGCAATTGAGATGAAGAGCCATGTGAAGACATCATGAACAGGACTGTAAGTTTCCAGGAAAGATTTGGTAGCTTGGGTAGTTATAAAGGTAAAGGATATGGAGCAGATCGTGGGTAGTAATACGCCAGAGTTCTTTTTGGGGAACTAAGATAGAGGCAGAACGTGGTTTATGCATATGGACAAACAGTTATCTTTGAAGTTAGTAATTTCAGAGAGGATAAGCAGAAAGGAAGGTTATTATTTGACCTTTAAGTTATGAGAGTTGCAATGGAACAATTTTCTTTGAGTTGGTTTAAATGTCAAAGGAGCCAAATGGAGATTACGTTTAACCTTTGGTTAAGAGGGTTAAATTATTGATGTGAACAAAGCACATCGTCAGGAATTTGTATCATCGAGATATTAAGTGAATGTAAAGGAGATCAAAATCCAGCAAGTGGGTCTTTCAATTTATTTCCATTTGGCCAATAGAGCTTTGGCCTCGATTACAAAATCTCTCAATTCAGTCTCAAGCCTATGGTTTTCATCCATAATCTCAGCTCTCTTCTTTTCATGGACTGTGACCATTCCAATAGAAGCATCAAATTCTTTCTCCAACTCCCAACACTGCTTCATTTTGCGTCTGAGTGTAGGACAAAAAGTCGAAACTGTGAGCTTCTGTTCTTCTAATTGAGCATTCACCATCCTCAGCTCTGCCTCAAGCTCTTCTTTCCTGGCCTCCATGCGTTGAAGTTTGCTCTCTTCAACGTTGAAATTGTTGTAGAAAAGACGAGCATCTTCACGCTTACGAGCTAGCTCATCTTGGATTGCCAGTCCTCGATTTTCCCCAAAGAGAAGGCAAGGGAGTTGATCAAGGTTGACTCTTATTGTGCCTACAGCATCCACAAAGCCAACAGCAAAGAGATCAATCTTGTCCTGGAAAGGCTAAGATAAAACAAAGGATGGATTACCAGAGCATACTTCCTGGAAGAGAATCCTTGCCTGGCGTTCCTTATCAGAGTCATTGTTCAATTTTTCATAGCCAGGTTCCAATAAGTTAAAGAGCTTTTCCCATTTAGCTTTGGCTATTTTTTTGGAAATTTCGGCAGACATTGATAAAGTTGAGGACTCTGGAGAATCAGGAGCTGTGGAAGAGCTAGGATGAGTACCTGCTAATATCCTTTCCATTTCTGCCTGTTCAGCTTGAGAAAAAATTTCTATCTCGGCAGGTGGACTAGGCACAGCACGAGATGTGGAGGGAGGCAAAACAGTAACTGTATAAGTAGCAGGTAGCAATGGTACACTTGATGCTCTTTCGGAAATTGAAGTCTCTTGAGGCATAGGAGTGAGCTCATCAGTAACTGCAAGTGGTGGTATACTTGATGCTCTTTCAGAAATTGGAGTCTCTTGAAGTACAGGGATGGGCTTATCGGTAATTGCAAGTAGTGGTACACTTGATGCTCCTTCAGAAATTGGAGTTTCTTGAAGCACCGGAGTGGGCTCATCAGTAACTGCAAATGTTGGCCTATGTATATTAGATAACAGCATAAAATCTTGAATCAAACAAAAGATAGTAATATTTACCGATGAAAGATGAAGAAAGATCTTTTTCAGATCCTATAACAGGGGCAAGAGTATCCTTTGGTGGTAGGCCAACATTGGTAAAGGATTGGAAGCTGGTGGGGTAGGAGCCTTGCTAGAAAGAGAAACAGGAGAAGCAGTACTGGGCTGATAGGTCTTAAGAGTTCCTGGATTAATCAGAAGATAAACAAGTTAGTGCTGTAATAACCTCCAAAAGTAAAGCATGAGAGTTACCTTTTGAAGTGCGTGGCTTTATCATATGGAGGTTGAGTATCAAACAAAATACATGAATATGGAAAAGCAGAATCAAGTTACCTTTAGAAGACTTTGTTGGTTTGGTTGAAGGTACATTTGCAGCTTCGATTGTTTTTGACACTATAAGGGGAATATCATCCCTTATCTTCAGGAGAATTTGATCTAGAGAATCTGAAAACACGGTCTTTCGATAACCATCCCACCAGAGGTCAAAATCGGCTGAAGAATGGTTGGGATATCCAGTGAATTCGACAACACGAGACAATCGATGAATACCCCGAACCAGTGTGGTCAGCTCAACAAAAGGTTGATTATCTTTTAGCTTGCAGGATATTTTATCAAAGGAAGCATAAGAGAAAGTATAAAGGGCCGGAACAGGGACCCCTTGAATCAGCCCAAGCTGTTTGGCACAGTATTGGGGAGAGTAGATTTCAAAACCAGCAACGAATCTACCATTTGTTGAAAATCTTACAGGAAGATCAACAGAAGTCAGAACAGTCTGCCAGAAGTCACTCCTATTTTTCTGGAAAGCAGAAAGGTAGGACTTGAATCGGGAAACAAAGAAAGGAGAGAAGGAATATGGGTTCTCTTCCACAGAATAGATTTGAGAAATAAAATACCGAAGATAAGAAGATAGCTCTTCGGGAACAGGGATTCTTACTCAAGGCCTGGCAGACTGGTTGGTCAGGAATGGAAATTGAAAGGGGTTGGATAACTTGATCCTTAGAAAACCAGGCAGAGAAATAGAAAGCCGCCCATGCTTGAAGAAGCCAAAGAGGACCACCAAAAACTCCACTAACTTCTTCTGAAGCAATGGAGGAGGAAGCATGGGCTAAACCCCGATATAGCAAAGCTAACATGATTTTGCCTAGTGCCAGTGAGGTCCCTGATGCTAGAGCGGAGGCAACAACAACAAAATCATTCGAAATCCTAACTATGGGGTGGCAGAAAAAGAATTTACAAAGCCAGTACAAAAGAAAAGCAGTATACTCCTCGTCAGTAACTATACTCTCCTTCTTGAAGTACTTTTTTATGAATGCCCCATAGGCCATTTCAGAATCAGATAATTTACCAAGCATTGAGCGGGAATCTGGAGACAGGGTAGATGGGTCTGTACCTAAAGGAGAGAGCCCAGTAAGGCAGTATACATCAAGCAAAGTTACCGACATAGGAGAGAAAGGGAAAAAGAAGCAGTTAGTGGAAGTCAACCAAAAGCAAGATAATGCTCCGATCAGTTCGCGATTCAAATGGTAATCAAAGCAGCTAAGACGCAAATCATTATGAATCGAAAGGGTATCCCAAAGAGGACCCTTAGAAGGAAGGAGTCGAAGATACCATTGGTAGAAATCTGGCTCAAAGTCAGAAAAAGCCCTAAGGCGAGGGGGACGAGAGTGCCACTGATATGCCAAGATAGATGACTCGTGGACTGGAAGCACCTCAAATTGGTGACGTGGGAAGTGGCTTGATAGGCACATTGGAATAGAGAAATGATTGTGAACTGCTGGACCAAGGATGTAAGAATCCTCGAAGTCATTCTCCACGGACAACAGATGAAATTCTTCGTTGAAATCTTCGGAATCTCGGAATATATGGTAGCGATCAAGAGCGTCTGATGCGGAAAAGGGAAAAGTTTGATCCTTGGAAGCTTTGGAAGCCATTGGGTTCAGACGAATATCGAGAGAGAGTGCAGAGAGTCGAGAAGGTGAGAATACAAAGGAATGAAGAAAGGAACGATTTTTAGAAGAAGTGTTTTGAAGACGAAAGGGCAAAGCGCACGAAGCAAGGTGACGAAGCGACAGCAAGAATACAACGTAAGTGTCTTTTCTTTTGGCATTTAAAAGAATTAAAAGTTCTTTTAATCCTTTTAAAATGGGGCATATGTTGACACCAAAATAAGATTCGGCATAAACGCTGAGTCGGCTTTAGTGCCGAATTTGGTGTATAATGGAAATCAGCCATCTTCCGAAACACGTCTGGACCAAATTGGGAAACATGCTGAGAAGCAAGCGTGAATGGCATCATGTCCTGAATTCGGTAATTGATGAAAATATGTATATTTACCGAAACATGGAAAGTTATAGTTCGGGAAGTTGGAATATTTATGCCTCAAGACGGCGACCCTTTCCCGAAACTCGGGAGGTTTACACTTCGGGAATATACTGAAGAATCACAGCCCAGCCACGTAAATCACGATAGCAAGAAGTTGTGAGCAAAAACGGGGATAGTGAGCACGAGCATATCGTGGGAAGTTACTTGTCCAGATTTGAAGTCATTTCAGCGGTTGAGATCAAGTTTTGGTGAACAATAAAACTGGAAAAACGTGATTAGAAAAGGCAGTTATTGGAAGCGCCAAAATTCAAAGTTCGAAAACATGGAAGTAACCGACAAGCAGTTACAGGATAGGAAGAGATACAAATACTTAGAGGAAGCAAAGAGGAAGACACGACCAACAACAATGCAAAAATACTCAAGCTTATCTGCACTTTAGTTTCCTATGCACCTTTACTTCCTGTATTTACACCTTCCTGTAGCTTTAGTTAACTTTCAAGTCCTTTACAGTTTTCATAGGAGTATTGTAACGCAGCTTGGAACTTTGTTGATCTCAGATCCATTTCCAGTCCATTCAATTTCTATCCATTCCATATAATCCTGTGTTACACTCTGTTTTTTTGCCACAATTCTCCTAGAAGTCAAGCCACAGAACCTACCTTAATAAAAACCGAAAATCAAAGTTTCGATGAAGGATATTCCTCGTCATAAAACGAGCGAACACTAATATGAAAAATTCAAAGCCATTTGGATCATCAGGGGACCTTGTTTCCTCGTTTTTTTACGTCTAGTACACAAAACTATCTAAACAAGACTACTCATCTAACCTGAACAGACATTACGCGAAAAGGGTCAATTTCGCCAAAACCCATAAAAGAATCTCCATGGCCAGGATGGCGACGGGCGGCTGGACGAGACCCGGCGCAAGGCGGACGGCGCGCGGCGACAGGGCAACGAGCGGCGGCTGCTGGTCTGGGCGGAAGGTCGCACTCATGGTTGGCTCGGGGCGAGGCGCGGTCGAGGGGCGACGGCGGTGGCGCGGCGGTCGGGTGGAGCCTGACAGCCGGATGGCGACACGGCAACCAGACGAGCAGCGGCGGCGCGCGGCGGTGGGGGTCCCATCGGTGAGTCGTAGGCGGAACAGCGGACGTGCGCGCGAGGAGGAAGAAGAGAAGAAGAAGAAGAAGAAGAAGAAGAAGAAGAGGAAGAAGACAAGAAAAAGAAAAAGGAAGAGAGAGAAGGGGGGGAAAAGGAGGCGGCAATTTTTCTTTTTTTTTTGGTCAAATGGGCGGGAATTTTTCTTTTTTTTTGGTCAAATCCGTCGCAAAATTCGTCGCAAATTTGCGACGAATTTATTTTCCGTCGTAAATTTGCAACGGATTTATTTTTCGTCGCGATTAATAAATCCGTCGCAAATTTGCGACGGATTCCAAAAATAAAGGGCATTTTCCAATCTGTTGCAAATTTGCGACGGGTTTATTTTCCTTCGCAAATTTGCGACGGAAGTGATCTTCGCGGCACATGGTACCCATTTTTTCAAATCTGTCGCTAATTTGCAACGGAATTAGCGACGAAAATGTTTATACCAACCAATTTTTCGAATCCGTCGCTAATTCCGTCGGAACCTTGAGTAGATATGCTTCTACACTTTTACATACAATGATACATTACTTATATTTGACGAATTAGTAAATGTCATGATCTAATTCGTCTAAGGGCGGCAAGTCTGGTAATGTTTTTTTTTTTCATTAGAGTAGCGGAGGAATGTCAAACAACTACGGGACGTTGTTACGAAATGGGCCAATGTGACTAGCATTATGAACACTGTGGAGAAACATGACTGATGTGGATGTCGTTGTTACAAACAGACTCGATTAACGCTTTCTCAAATAACAATAGGGCTCTGATACCAAGTCAAGAATGTGATAAAAAAAAATAAGAGCAATATATATATATATATATATCATTGTCAAATGAAGAGTACACAAACCTATTTATCGGTTTTATAGGATGACTATGTAAAAGGGAAAATATCAATTACAATCAATTAAAGGAAATATAGGGAATCTTCTAAATATTTCTCTAATGGAATTAATGCCTTCTATTCACTCATCATTCGGATGTAACCCTTTAGGAGTAATTCATCTAATTGGTTAGATCAAATTGGTTAGATCTAAATAAGAATATCTCTTTTATATGATCTCCTATAGATATCTCCATATAGATACATTGACTTTACATTTGATACATCCACCCGATTCCGATCTATTTGAAAATTGCTATAATTTATTTACCCATATATTTACGCATACATAAGAGCTACGTGCGGAGGAAACCGCCATATTCAACTAAATAGATATCTATGTTATCTATATCTAAGTCTTGAAAAAAAAATAAGATAAGATTTGCACCTATCGAATCTAAAAAAGCTTATTTAGGACGAGAACATTTTAAGAAATTATCTAATATCTTGAGTTTATAATAGATCTTCTTATCTAATTTGAATTTGTAATATCTAATCTCTCTTAGAATTGGACGTGTAGCAAATCGTCCAATCTCTTTTGAATTTGAACTTGTTACAATCATCCAATTTAGTTTGAATTTCAATTAATAATTGTTAGTTTGCATTAGATTGATTTCATTAGGCAATATTTAGTTTGTCTTGTGATGGAGTATATTCCTTATGTAGTCCTCGTCCTTATCACGAGAGATTGAGACATGGTAATCATCGTGATTAGACTTAGAAGAACTTAGGTTTAGTTTTAGAACACTACAAAAAAACAAGGTTTTAGCGACGAATTTTGCGACGAAATTTTTGACAAAATTCGTCGCTAAACGAATTTGCGACGGAAAATAAATACATCACAAATTTGCGACGAATTTATTTTTCCGTCGCAAATTTGCGACGAATTTATTTTTCCGTCGCAAATTTGCGACGAAATTTCCGACGGATTTATTTTACGTTGCTAATTTGCGATGGATTTATTTTCCGTCGCAAATTGGGTCGCTATTTTTGCGACGGATTTATTTTCCGTTGCTAATTTGCGACGAATTTTTATTTCGTAGCAAATTCCGTCGCAAATTAGCGACGAAAAATTTCCGTCGCTAATTTGCGACGGATTTATTTTGCGTCGCAAATTAGCGACGAAAAATTTTCCGTCGCTAAATTCCGTGGCAAAATCCTTGTTTTTTTGTAGTGTATGTAAGGTTCGGATTTTACTTATGACGGTTATTATGAATTTTTGCAGCGATCACACTCTATTAACTTTTACTTAACACAAAGCATTTAAAATCTTCAAAAAATATTCATAAAAGTGATAGGTAATTTTTATTCTGCCATTAGTAGTTTGATTATTGACAACATCTGGTTCTATAAATCGCCAGGTGAATGCTCCGGTTCTGGAGGCATTGAGATTTGTTCTCCCGAGAAAATTAACAAATAAGGATTTTGTTAAAGATTGTCCCTAGGACATTTTATAAGATTATACTTTGAGACATGCCTTATTTACGACGACGTACTAAAAAGAGAATAGATTTTCAATATTCAATATTCGTCAATGTCCATTTAGAATAGTTCTTTCTATCTTTAGTTTCTATAAGTACACCATTTTTATCATATAATTTTTGTCACACCCAAAACTAATAAGAATTGAGGATGACACGACCGTTTTTCCACCTGAATGACACAGTCTTAAACAAAAAATATGTTATCAACATATATTTCCATCTATATATATGACAAAATGTAGGTTGGTTACAACATTAAAGTGTCCGTTTGTTTCGCGGAAAGCATTTTTCGAGAAAATACTTTCCTCATTTTCCAGCGTTTGGTTTTGTTAAGAAATTGAGTCAATGGAAAATGTTTTCCTACTAAGGCACCGTTCGTTTCACGGAAAACAACTTCCAAAAAATCGTTTTTCGATGTTCATTTCACGGAAAATAAACTAGTCATTGAAAACATTTTCCCTCAAGAGAGAAAACACCTTCCATAGTGAGGAAAATGTTTTCGGCTTTGTTTCCATATCTTATTTCCCCTCACTTCCTTTCACAAAACACATTTATTTTTATTTTTATTTTTTTATTTTTATTTTTTCTTTTCTTTTCTTTTCTTTTTTTTAAAAAAATCGAATTTTTAATTATTTTTAATATTTTTCTATTTCTTTTCTTCATCTTTCTCTTCTTCTTTTTTTTTTTTCTCTTCTTCCTTCCTCTACTGGTCGTGGCCGGCGACCAGTCGCAAGCGAGGCTCAACCTCACTCGCTGACCTTAGGTGAGGCCGAGCTCGAGCCTCAACTCGCCGGCCTTGGGCGAGGCCGAGAGTAGCCTCGCCTAGCCAGATTTGGCGAGGCGAGGTCGAACTCGAGCCTCACCTCGCCGACCTCAGGCGAGGTCCAAAGTAGCCTCGCCTCGCCGGATCTGGCTCGACCTGGCTCGAGGCCGGTGAGGCTGGCCTATGGCTGGTCGCCGTGGTCAGCAAAGGAAGGAGAAGAGAAAAAAAAAAGAAGAGAAAAAGAATAGAAAAGAAAAGAAATATGAAAAATTATTTAAAAAATTAAAAATTCGAATTTTTAAAAAATTTTATTAAAAGGAGTGCAAGGAAGAAAATATTTTGTCCATACCGAACGATTGAAAATATTTTCTTCCAGTTCATTTTCAAGTTTCAGCCGAATAGCGGAAATTATTGTCATTTTCTTGGAAAGTGGCTTCTTTGGAAATATTTTCTAGAATTGTCACATTTTCCGCGAAACGAATAGAACCTAAAGCTTAAATTCAGGAAAATAATTTCCCCTTTTTTTTTTGGGATCATAATTTCCCCTTTGAAAGAACCGGAAAACCTTTTCAAAAGTATGACTTTTATCTACGCTTGAACACGAAAACTCCAACGTTAGTTCTCGGGTGCCGACATTTTGGACCAGGTCTCAGCGGCAGGGCTCCAGACCTCAGTGTCTAGGGCCTACGCCCCCAGCGCTCATGCCAGGCTGAGCCCGAACCCCTGGTGCTCGTACCCGATGCTCCGGCACCCAAACTCGAGTCCATAAAGGCAGTGCTCAGGTCCTCGATGCTCGAGCTTTAGTCTCGACCCTTTGACCCTAATCCCACAAAGGTGGTGCGCATGTCCTTGGTGCTCCGGCTCGGTCCTTAAATAATGAAACGTTTGTTCTTATAAAAATATTTAATTAAAAAAATTGATTTTTTATTTTTTTCAAATTTTTTTTAAAAAACATTTTTTTATTATTTTAAAAAAATTTAATTATTTATTCTTTATTCTTTTTTTTCTTTCTTTTTCTTTTTTTTTCTTTTCTTCCTTTTTCTTCTACCTCAAGCCGGTTGCCGGTCACAGCAATGGCCGGCGAGCTCGTGGCGGCCTCTAGCGGCAAGCTCGAGGCTCGGCCGATCCAAGCGAGCCCAAGCTTCGCCGAGGTCGGTGAGCTCACGGCTCACCGAATCCAGGCGAGCCCAAGCTCCGCCGATCGAGTTCGGCCGAGGCTGGCGAGCTCGTGACATGCCAGATCCAGGTGAGCCTAGGCTTGGCCGAGGCCGGAGAGCTTGTGGCTCGCCAGATCCAAGCAAGGCCGGCAAACTCAAGCTCGCCTGTGGCCATCGCCGGGCGAGCCTCGAGCTCGTCGGTGGCCGTCGCCGGCCGGTCCTGGCAGAGGAAAAAGAAAAGGAAAGAAAAGAAAAAAGAAAATTAAAAAATAATAAAAATTTCAATATTTTGAAAAAAGAAAAGAAAAAATAAAAATAAAAATATCGATTTTTTTTAAAATAAAAGAAATATTAAAAAGTTCGATTTTTTTTGCCTCAAATAAAGTCATGAGATTAAAATCATTTTCCAATGATATCCAAACATTAGAAAACGATTTCTATCTTGTATCGCCAAACAAAGGAAAACTAAGCGTT